CAACGCCCATGCGATCACTGACTCTCGAGTTTGCGGCTGGCAGGCGAATATTTCTTTAAAAGCTACTTTTTCCGCTGAGAGTTGCGACTTTGGCGCGGCAATTAACATATCTACCAATCCCTAAGCTGAGATACCGTTCAATTTTGTTTTTTATCATTATGACAAGATAAGATTTAATCTCGTCTCTCTTGACGAGTGCTAGTGGTATTGAGGTCAGGGCACAAGCGCCGATCGAAATTTGATTGAAAAAAATCAATTTGGTGGTCACCGAAATAGATAAGTGTCACACTAAACGAAAGAAAACTGGCTCGCTATATTTCAACCCGCTGTGTTCGAGTTTGAACCTGACTGGGTCGAAATATGCAGAGTAGCCAAGCTTTTACTGCACTTAAAACTTCAATTTTGGGTATCAAATGATCTCTTTTCATAAACATCTGGGAAAAAGCTGTGTTATTTCGTCCAGAAATAACCCTAAATCAAATCTGATGTTGGACAGGAACAGATTATTAAAGTAACATCTTAAGTTTCTGGGCGTCGCCAGCACATTCTTCAATCGGATTAGGTGTCTCCCAGTTACAGGCCAGACAAAAATATCGTCCGTTTGTTATCGGAGCGAAGCTACAGCAACGCACACAAATTATACTACAACCCATTTTAAAGGTCAATGTTTCTCAATAACAACTCTTCAGAAGTAGTATGTTAATCGGGTTTTTACGTTCCGCCTAAATGGACTCGTCAAAAAAGAAATGCGATTGAGTGCGATTTAATTGACGTTTTCAAGGGGAACAATAAACACACTCTTTCCCTTTGTGCTATAATTGAAGAATGGAATGTTTGGTTGATAAATGGTTTGATACATAACATAAACACAAAAGACAAACGAAACCCACGCACGACTCTTTCGGCAGGCCACAGCTTTTTTCTCACAAACTCGAAGACGATTTCAGGACCTCTCGTTATGTAACAGTTTTTGTTATTTTTGGACGAGTTTCCTTCTCTTGCCATGAAATTCAAGAAATAATCTACTGTTTGATAATTTCTTATTGTTGTTATAATAAAAACTCAGAAGTTTGAAGCGCATGGAATTTTCTGTCTGGAGGTATGGTGGCGCATTTAAAAGGCTTTCGATCATAATTAAATGAACGCATTCCAACAAAAAAGACGTAATTTACAGTCAAGATTTGTTGAATCGATTAGACATAAATTTGCAAGAATGTTAAGCAATACACTGCCCCTTTAACAGTTTAAACTTTCATTATGTATCAACTACTCAGAAAATTAACAAATCAGTTTTATCTCGGATAACATTGTGTGCAGTCTTGTCTTGTGAAAGCACAGATATAGTTTACTATAGCATGGAAATTCGACTCTAAAAAGCCGACAAAATTTACAGCATACTTCTACTAGAAGTTGCTGCGTAGTGCAACTCTGCAAGTGGTGCCAAGCGCGGGAAACCATACAACTGGTGCCTAATCACTGGTACTGGTTTAAGGAAAACATGTGAATGAACCTGCACGACAAACACGTCCTTGTTAAAGCGGGAAAATATGTCACGAGGCAAAAACATGAAGAAGCGCGCGGAAAATTCTGCCACCGGTCACCAGTGCGAAGCGCGGGAAAAATGCAACCATAACCTGAAAACATGTTACTGGAACCAAGGCGCGGGAAAACGCCACGGTACCATGTAAGCGCGGGAAATGTGGTGTGAGTACCTCATCTGATTGGCTGTCAGGAGAGAAAAAAAATTGCCCTGATTGGTTACTATCACTGAACAACACAAGATTCGGTTGAAGAATGAACTATCGGTGAAGGAATCCAAACGAAACTAGATGCAATCGTCTTCAGAACTGTGTTTCAACTTAACAGAGTGCAGGAAAAAGCTTCAAGCAAATTGATTTTCGAGGTTTTTCTGACCAGCACGGTTGTTCTTAATTCCAATGCAATTTGCGATCAATAATACTTGGAACATACGACGTTAGCGAGAGAAATTTTAATCGTTTATTACGCTTCAAACGGCACACAACGAGAACTTGTTTTGGATAGAAGCTGGTAT